GATAGTTAACGATGATTTCCCCATGATCTGAGTAGTTTAGGAATAGAGAACTCAATAGATCTGTAGAAAAAATTTCGCGCATTAATAGCATATACAAAATATTACTCTTTCACAAGATGTTCTTAGAGCTTATATATGTCTACAAATAATATTTTCAAAATAGTAGATCCCACTTTTTAAAATTTTCAATGGGAAAGGAGTAGCTGCAAATATAAGCGATAGGTTGGGAGAACATCATCTAGTTTTCGTGGATGGAATCCGGGTTGTTCAGGCGCTTTATTATTTGAAATATGAACTTTGGATCAATAAAATGAAAGAAGTATGGTTCATAGGTCTTAGACAATCACAACTTCACCGCGATTAAACAAAAAACGTTTATTCCACAGCCAAAGATACGTAATTTTAATAGTTCTCATGGCGGTAAGAATAATATATGAATCAGACTAATAATAATAAGATTCATTACGAGTTGAGATATATTGATTTAATGTTGGAAGCGGCCACTACATTCGCATCGTATAGAGGCACTCACAGGAGTTACGTAGTGGAGCAGGTGTTAAAACACGTAGTATACCCTAACATTCCGTCTTTTGTGTTTAGAGTTTTTTCTCACTACAGCTTTCGATGACTAGCTTTCAAGGGTTGGCAAAAGGTGCCGTGCAACGTGAACATCGTAATAATGTTTTCCTTGTCCTACCACTGCAGCATCATTATAGCACCCTGGTACTACTGGTTGTCAATAAATTACTGCTTAGGATGGCCGACCTGGTTTTTCCTGCGCATTCCAATGAGCTTTGGTTTTGAGTATGTCATGAGCCAGGGGAGCAGCTGTATGCTAATGATCGGTATACGTGCCCTGTATCATCTACGTCCTCTAGTTATCGGAGAGGTTTAGAGTTACCGATAAACTAGCATCGTGTGTTGTATGAAACATGTAGAATTCACTCTTAACAAGATTGATACTTCATTTTCTATCGCCATGATCAATCGTGGTTATAACTAGATATATGAAAAGTATACGAAGTATCGAGATATAGTATAGACGGTTTTCAAAACCTTACTATAAGATAACCGAAATGTGGTTCGATGACGGAAGGTTTTTAAAGTCACACACAAGAGCAAAACGTTTGCACCGCTCAGCATAATATACAGAGGATCGTACACGGTACACATTTTTTATACGATCATTCTTTCACATCTGCTGCGCAGATCCCAGCAATTCCCTCATTCGATTCGTTTCCTTGCATCCGTCAACCACGAAGTTTTCCAACTTTTACTGTAGCTTTGGCTACTACTTGAGGTGTTTAACTTCATTTCGAATGCTGTCCAATGCTAATCGAGTCGACTCTCCTTGGAGTCCTGAGATAGCCCGACTAGAGCGTTCCCACTTGGATTGAAGAGAGCAATTTTTTCTCGGAGAAGACCCGTACCAATTTCCCGACCCCGAAGGGCTGAAAGGCCTGGTGATCCCGGAGTACGATCGAACCAGTGATGATCGGCAACACTGCTATTCGCTATTCCTTCCCTACAAGACACACAGGAAACGGAAAACACAGAAAATAGCAATAAAGGATACAAAAAGCACAAATTATAGGGAGAAAAGTACAACAGCGGAGTATCTAGGAGACGTGACTAATGTGCTGTGAAATCGATAATTCCTTAGTGAAACATGCAGATTATTTTTCAAAACATAAAAAGCTGTAGCAGTACAACTTGAGAACACCTTTGCTACACATTGCAATGAATCAATGAGACTAACTGTGCAGAACTTCATTGCTCTAAACATCACTTTTTGCTCATGGTCTGTTTGGTAGTTTCAAGGGATCCCAGAAAAAAGCTGGAAATTCAGAGTTAGAAGAACACTTGATAATAAGGTCAACTCTTAAAACGAAAAGCACTTAACAAAAGGCATGAATGACATTTTCTATGATGCACAGATGTGCTCAACGTAGCATAAAGCTGCCTAATTTTGTTATTTGCGGCATGCATTGCTTTCAATTCATATGCAGCAGGAGATGGATTATTCTCCAAATTTCAAGCCAATATATCTTAGATTATATCGAATCACAAAAAGTGAAAGAAACCTCATTCAAACTCACATATTTGTATATTTGGCAACAAGCTTTCACATTCTACCACTGTGGGATTGAGATATGTCTCCAGTATTTTTTTCTTTTCTCCTTCCAGCAGATGCTTATATTTCAAATAGTGAAAAGAATAAAAAAGCGAGAATCTATCCTTCAGGGTAATGGCGTTTTCGAATGTATCGCTCTTGTGGGCGGTTTTCACACCTGCACTAAGACTTAAAAACTGTTCTGTACAATAACATTTCTTGAAGTTTGAACTTCAAAGAAGTTTAAAACTAAAACAACATTTTGAAAAAGTGATGCATCCCATTTCTCCTCAATGGTTTACGGCCTGGTCGTCGAAAAGAGTGTTTTTCGGTGTTGAACTGCGAGTTATATGGAGGGCTCTTCACGCAGAAGGCTTTTCAAAGGTGAAAATGAGTGCGACTTTTTCACACGGAATTAGATAAGAGCAAACCTATGCTCGAAATAGTATCGCCTTGGTAGCAACGTAGTCTCAATGTGGCAGACGTTCTTAGCATTTACAATGGTCGGTAATTGCAGACGGCGACTACTTGGGAAAGTACAAGCACGGCCATATAGAGGGTCCAGGAAAAAAAAAACTACCACTCAAAATCATGCACGATTTATCCTGGAGACGGATCATTCAAGCATTCTGGTATACCTTAGGAGTGTACGATAAAGTTTCTTATATGAACTCTGAAGTTCTCCAGTATTTCCGGCAATCTTCAGAAAACCAGTGTAATCGCAAATGTGTTAACCAAACTTCAAAATAACATTATATGCATGTATAAACTGCACGGTTCTCAGGTAAACTTTTATAAGAATATACTATTACTGTAAAGGAAGCATACATGTTACTACATGGCACGACACAAACTAACTACTAATTACTTGGTACGATATAGAACATGTCAGATAAGCATCTATCCAGTCCCAACACAGGAAAAAAGATCTGCGAGAAAAACAGATGACATGTCATGATAGCTTAGAAGACTGCGATAATCGTCTGCGGAAAGCTAAGAACACTTTAAGAACTATAGCTTATTTAGAAGAAAATGGCAAAAGTAATGTCTCCCCGCAAACAAAATAATAATAATGATTTTTCCACAACTATGAAAGGTCCAATATAACTGGTTTGCAATATTTGGCAGAATAGAACATCTACAGATATTATTTGGTTCATGGATCACATGCTCATTTAGAATCGGGTACAAGACCGAAGAAACATCACAGGAAGTAATGAAGACGATGGTAATACCGAATAACGATGAAGGATATAGAATGTATCGACTAATCTACAACCATTTTTGATAACAAATAATGAACGCTCAGTAGCAAAAACAGTGAAGGCGAATTCAACGTTGTACTCAACAGTAAGGGCATACTATAAAAATATCAGTAAAACAGCTAGCAACTGAGAAAGAACTGCTGAGCATAGGAAGAGAGAGGAAAAGGACTTGTTGAGACACTCCGATGGAGAATCAGCTATGATTTTCGGGAAGGAGAATGATCCCGACCTATATGAAGGATCGTTAGGTGATCAGAATGAAAGACATGGCAGAGCATTTGAGAACACAGTATTATCAATAAAACATGATTCTAAAGTACAAGCTAAAGGATAATATGAAGGGCATGAAGCGAAGACAAACGGATGATGTTATCAATGCTACAACTGCATCTACAAGATTGACCGCTAGTCGACGGGTCGACGGAAATATCTATGGGAAACGGCCGCTGGCGGCGCGCAGAGATCAGAGAAGGTTTCCGACGGCCAACACTCAACTTTGGGTCTTACTGTACGAATTCGAAGCAGCGAATACGGTGCTCCGAAAATGGATGTGAGCGACCTGGCTAGAATAAATCGAAGATCGACACAGAGATGCCCTATATGACACTACGGCACAAGTGAGAAGAACGATGGAAAACGAAAGACAGGATTCATCACATAAAATCACGAAGGCCACAATGAAAGAACAGGGCGAAAGACGATGACGAGGTACCTCCTGGCCCGATAAAACGTAACCTGGAAGTAGATTATAAAGTGCCATCAAATTAAGCCAAGAATTAAGGACCTTACATGTGGCAAATCGACAACAAATAGGATGACCCTCACCGAGCGAATGCTTCGATTTTGTGCACTGAAACCCTTAGTATCATCAGCATATTATGCTTCAAATGCTTTTTATTTCGCAAGACAACATGTTCTTTAGATAATGTCATACAAACCTCAGAACGTAGAAGAAGAATTGTGGAGTAGTCAAAGGGCGTTTTTATTACTCACATCTGTAATGCATAAATCTTTATCATTCTGTCAATGACTAACTCACTGTAATAAACTCTGAAGTGAAAGAAAGACCACTATTAACCAGTTGATAAAATTCTAATATTAATGCGATGAACAAGAAAGCTAATTCTTCGAAGAGTAAAAAGGAAGAATTACATGAGATGCAAACACTGCTTCCCATATCAGCTCCTATCTGACCCTGGTAATACATAAACCGACAACTTAGTAGACACAACATCTGAGACAATTCAGCAAAGTAGTTAGGGCGCAGTTCTTATTTGTCATTAAAGAAAAGATACTTTAGAGCTGATAGTGAACAAGAGTGGAGATAAGGCGGAAAAACATGTTTGCCTTACGCAACAAACTTGAACACTTGTTATCTTACGAGTGCATACATGTAAAGGAGTGATAGCTGAATAACCAAGGAATAAATGATGATAAGCCTCAGATATGAAGTCTACTATGGCATTCAGTACACTAACACTTGATTAAGAAGCGAGATCAGCAGGAATGAGAAAGCAATGATTGAGGAGAACGCACGGGGAGACAAGAAGCGGTGTATGTGCCGGTATGCGGGTGTGCGTGTGGCCAACAACGTTCGTGCCTGAGGTCCGAGGTTGGCGACGATGCGTCGGGCAGATGCGGAGGCACGTGTGGGCGGCGCGTGGGTGGGTGGCCTGGCTGGCGCCGGCGGTGACGTCTACTTTGACGCCGGCGACGGTCGCCGACGCGACCACGCTGTAAACCGACGACGCCGCCGCCGAGCAGCGTTCGAGAACAGCACGCATTCTATACATCGTTCTGGACGAAGCACATCGAAATGCATAAGCAATAAGCGCTCAACTTCTCAACATTGATCTACCTATCTGTGGCTATACAGCATAGTTTGGTTATTTAGTGAACAGAGAACGCATAACGTCTGAGAAATACTTGACGTGAGAAGAGCTGGTGAGACCTCTTGAGCTGAGAAGCAGTGCTATCGAGTGTCGCAGTGCGCTGCAATGCGTACTGAATACGAATATATTATAATATGCGTGCATGAGAGAGACGTCCGATTGCTATGGTATAGAAGAACGAGCGCTGTTCTAACAAACAGTACGCGACGCGTCCGCTCGCTGTACTTTTTATCATAGTTTCTAGTTCGGTATGCCGAAAGAGCTGTTGTGTTTTCGTTTCTGGCTATTTAATCCACTAAACGTTGGCCATTCTATTTACTTAATGCAAGAAACATTGGACATCCACTCAGAACACCGAATCATCAAACTGAGCTATAACCGAGGAGAAACGGGCGTGCAATAGTCGAACGAAAAACAGAGATCGATCAATCAAACGGGTCCGATTTAGTTAAAGATAAATTACGGTTTATATGCAACATAATTCCACATAGGTGTCATGCTTGTGGTGTCGTTGTCATGAAGCGTACGGGGTGGATCAGAAATTTTCTCCTTGTTTAGACATTATTCTTTGAATACATGAGAATGTTTCAAAACCCTTAAAATAACCCGATGACAGAACATCAAAGGCAAGACCGACCCCATACGTCAAGCGGACGAAAATACTTAAAAAGAATGCTAAGTGCTACTATTGACAGTAAATACTACTATTGAATAGTGGCACTAAGTAATACCATTACTAACGGTTTATTGGGAAGCCATATGATGAGGACTTCCGAAATCATATTCGTCAACAGTGAATACATTGTCCACACTTTTCTGGACAACATGACAAACGAGAACGAAAATAGGTGGTTGCTTCAACTGGAATGGGACGACGATGCGGTCTACAAAAGCGAACCGCTGTCCTAATTAAAAGGCCCAGAATTCTAAACAACGTTTATTTCCGCCCTCTATTACACTTTAGCTGCTAAAATTGAATGATTAGAAACTGGCCTGTTATTTATGCAAGCATGAAGAAATCACTTTGGGTATTTGCAGTGGGAAAAGGCGTTCAGTGATAAACGAACCCGATAGCCTAACAATTTTAATAAGGATGGATTAATAAGCCATGAAAATCTATCGACACTACGGCTTGCTGTTAACGTTAGAGTCACCGAATTGCCGTTTAGTTTGAATTGTCGTTAAGTCCGTTGAATTTCGAATGAGATACGAGAGAAAACGTCAACGTAAGTAAGCTTCCCAATCAGTCACCTATTGCGGATCACTAGCAACTTTCTAAGAACCTTCATTCATTAAACAATGCTTTTACGCCGTTCATCAAAAACACTTTACACTTTTGTCCATCATACATGTTTTGAACTCTAAAACTGAGCTCTTGTACACAGACGACATCAAATGTCTACGGGTGAAGCACAGCTCATGTCAAGTCAGAATTTGTTGTAAACACCTCAGTTTACTCACTGATACGGCTTTTGCTCCGAAATTTATAAGCTAAAGCGAAGGCTTTAAAAAAAACGACAACCGAGAAGAAATAGCCGTAGCCAATTCAGCCGGGAACAAAAATTCAGCTGCTTATTCGAGCTTGTAAAACTGCAGGTAAACGTTGAAATGTTCCGGAAAACTAGCTGAGCGGGATTATAACACTGAATACATACGTAAAACAAATACACACATATATGTACATATATATATATATATATGCAAGTATTCAAATATATATATACATATATGTCGATTTTCGTAGAATTCAAGGTGTATGGATGTAAAAATCCCATTGGAAAGCGGACATAAAGAGGTTTCTCAAAAATAAAAGAAAAAACTGAATTAAGAACGTAGAACATACGAGGAACACCGTTTGAGCAAGTTATGGATAAACGAAATACTGCAGGCAGAGCATTTAATCAGCTCAGTTAGGAGCTCGTTCCATTTGAAATCATGAATTTAAGAAAGAAGAAACCTTGTTGTTCATTCACTAAAAATTAGGGAAATTTTCTTGATTGACTTACATTTCACCTAATAGTCAGGTACGATTTGCCATGAAGACTGATATAATACCCAATTCGATTATGTTATGAATTGTGCTACAACTTGTTTACCTAAACAAGAACTGAAAGTAATATAATCATGAAGGTTATGTAGTCACGAAATGACGACGGAAATGGAATACTCACACGATGATAGAAAAAGGATTTCGATTTTGTCAGAAATACAAAACACAACAACTGAATTCTATATATGAGCTTGAAACTACGCGATGAAGAACACTACAAAAAATCTGAAAAAAGACCGTATACGAAGAAAACACCTAAGTTATCCTTGGTATTTAGAAGTCTTCACGAACAAAAATAAACGTGTTAGGCAAACTTATCAAAACTTACTGCACTTTGACAGGTTGACTGTAGAGAACCAAAACATTTTCAGTTATAACCGCAAATAAGAACGCATAATTTCTACAAAATGAACCATCACCTAAACTTCCTGCACGATTTTATTTTGCACTTAGGAATCACATCTTACATGCAGCGAAGGTGCTGGCACCACCTCCAACAGACTCGAAATGTTGAAATAACTGCTGACCATATGTCGGCCCAGTGCCATATCCTGAAGCACACATCTTATTTCTATTTCTAGGACAACATCTTCGTTGGAGAACTTCATAACTCTAAATAGGGAATGCTTGTCTGTTCTAGAGAACCTCCAAGTGTATATGAGTTGGTGTCTGTTACTTCTGATGCGCTTGTCTTCCTTCGTGGAGAGCCACCTTCGGATGAAAACGTAGACGATGATGCAGGAGAGCACGATTGAGTAACTAAATTTATACGGACTGATTTTTTACGGAAGGATTTGAACCTAGTTTGCAAAAATTAGCACTTCTGTGGTGTAAACACACCAGAGCTAACTCTTGAACGGAAACCACTATCCTCATCGTCTTCCTTGTATTTCTTTTTTGAAACGAACATATCGAAAGGATCCACATCCAAAGGGAGAGTAGACCTTGAAATTTTCATTTAACATATTACTCTAAAGGACTCGTACTAAGTGGTCTTCCCTGAAATAACATTGGTCTCATACTGAGAGCAAAGAATAAGGGTACATTCAATCGAACATCGTCGAAAGAAAAGAACATACTCGAATTTTCAATCACACATATTTTTCTGCGTTACTAGTAATCAAAAGTTTATGTGAAAATTGAATGTAGACTGTTACTTTAAAAACAGGTTATGCACTGCCGTTCTACTTATATAACTGAATAAGTCGTGTACTGCTGTTTTTACTTATATAACTGATGTAAGACCTGTTATGTGGGTTAGAACCAAGAGGTAGCACATCATAGCAATTCCCGCTATCCTTGGTTGAATCACTTGACGAGAACAGCCCTTGACTTTCCGATGGGATGAAAGAAAACGCATCAAAAGGTGAGTGAACTGAAACCATCTGAAAACACGGTATTTTGCAATTTCTGAAAAAAGGTTTTGCGAAGAGATCGAAAAGGCGCCAGAAGCGCTTAAATTCCTCTGGCCATGGGGTGTTCGAATACACCCACGATTTCGTTCTGGATCGGAGAAATACAGCATTGTCGGCACTGATCAAGATGTCGCCGCAACGCAAGAGGCGATCTGTAAACATCAGATTTTAAATCTAAAAACGGAAGATATTTAAGAGGTCAATGGAGTAAAGTAGGTTAATCTGATATAACTACATTTTAAAAACAAAAAGCTTTTAGAATATAAAAATATGAAGATCTCCCAGTAAAATGGTATTTTAGAATAGATGCCAAAAGTTTAGGAGAGGATTTGTGTGCTCAATTTCCCACAACAGAATAGAACTGAGCATGTTTTACCTGAATATTCCAAAACATTCCTCGCAGCGACGGGGGCCGACGTCCGCGTGCACCTGAGAATGGCGTCGGAGTCCACGATCGCACTCGAATGCCTAAAATGCTTCTACAACCCTGCCACACAATGGCGAGGCTTTTTTAATGGAAAACAGTTGTAAGCGTAGAAGTTAAAACCAAGTGAAAAGGTTAAAGCCGGCGAAACGTCAGCCAGAGTTGATAAAGGTTTTATTAACAACCTTGTATTTGTTTAAGGAGAAACCATGAATTTATTGACCATTACCGAGGTTAACGGAATGTTTATCTCGAAAATTGAGGCCACCATTGACCTATTTAAATCCCACATCTCCCTTGCTAGTATTTACGAAAATACTTCCTCAAAGCGATACTTTCTGCTTCTAGTACTATACCTGCCGGCAGCAGCTACATTTGTAGGGGAACATATCCTCGCGCGAGTGAGCTCCCGAGTGACGCATTAGTGATGCCTCCGATGGAAACGTTAGACGACATTTGCGACAAGTATGCAGCTGAATGATTGTCATCAGTTGGATTACAATGTTTAGTTTCTTGAAAGAAGCACACTATGCACTCTCTGAAACCGAAAATGACTGCTCTTGTAGTCATTTCATGATTTAAAAATTGAGAAAAAAATAAATTAACTCATGAGCTCACAGGCCATTCTCTCCCACTTTTACATCCGCACACAACTCAGGATTATAGGAATATGCAGGCCAATACTCAATGCTGACTTTACAACATCGGCTCAACTAACAACGTCCATATAGACATAATGCATTCATTTCTTGAATTTTAACGACTTTCCTGCCGATCTCGACATTTAGAAGTTTTATAATTTAAAAATCCTTAAATCTCCAAAGGTTTACCACTTTGTGGTGACTGGGGCCGTCTGGGTGTCAAAGTTCACGGTGATTCAAGCTGATATGGAATTTGACATTTTCCTCCAGAAACCCAGCTGAGAGTAAACCTATGTCAAGAATCACAGCCTTTCTGGCAATAATCAAATTGCAAGGTGCGAAATTTCCTTCGGATCCACGAGTGCTAGCCAAGCGGAAAAGCTCTGGCAAATGGACTATTCAGGTATTCATGAAACATTTTTCAAATCGCAGTATATTTTCTACGTCGAAAATTCAAGATGCTAGGATGTTGGTAGACTTGAATATATACATTTAGATAACCTGTCATCACATCTACTGCGCAGATCCCAAATCTTCTTGTATTCAATTCCTTTTACCCGCATTCATCATCCACAACGGTTTCCGAACATTTTGCGTATTGTTTTGTGTGCTGCTTGAAGATTTCGTTTCCTTTGTGAATGTCGTTTAATGTTGATCGAGTCGATTCTTCTTGCAATCTTGGAGATGGTAGAGCGGGGCGTCCCAGCGTTGGTGGAGGGAGAGCGTTGGGAATGGGATCGAACGAGCGCATTTGCTTCCTGATCGACGCGATCATTTGCGACTGTGCTACCCTCTCCTGGCTTTGAATAGTAATGATCCTGAATATGTCAACCAAACTACTTTCTTAATATTTTTCCTTAAGATATCGGTATTTTTTGCATTCTTGTAGGGTCATAGAGGCACCTTTCTCTTAACATTATGGAAGAACCTAAGATATATCGCAATAAGAGGAGATTCGAATCCCACCTTTGCCTTGTTCTTAGCGATGTAAGCATCGATTTCTTCCTGAGGAAGTGGATGATCTCGTACACAATCCGGAGGTCTCTGCTTCTCAACAGCCTTTGTGGGAACCTCCTCGTGTGACGGATGCTGCAGATCAGGGATAGGCGCAGCCTGTAAGTTTTAATCAGGAAATTCCGGATGAACTTTTTTTAAAAACTGCTTTAATGTTTCAAAGTCTGCTTTCACATTGTAGACCAAATTAACACAAAAATAATAAAAAATAGAATCGCACATTTGGCGGAATTTCTTCGAGTTGGTGAATGACGAGACCGTACGTGATAGGAACATCGTTGTCCTCACTGTCAGAATGCGATGACTGATAACTAAAGATTAAAATGGTGATCTTCTGCCGATTATGCTTCAAATAGTTCCTATGGTATTGCTTCTGGCACATTGTAAGGGCCGCAATTTTTTACCAAATGGAAAGAACTTCAACTCACGTCACCAAGTCGTCAGAGTTCATATTTGCTTCAATTCGAGACTTAAGTAATTGGTTTGTTTCAAAACGACGCGCTGTAGGCGATGCAGCAAGGCTGCCTCGACGTCGGCTGGAATTTTCAATGAAAAGTTTATCGTTTCAGAGACCAATGATTGCATCTTTGCCAAAAAGGGTGGAGTTATAACGTGTGAGCTTATCGTAGTGAGAGAGTATCTGTGAATAGTCAACCAATTTCTTTCGAATGAGCTGCCTTTGAAGTCTAAAATTACTAACTTAGGTCAACGTGATTTAGAGTAACATTCGACCACGTGAACGGTTTTGTGAGTGTTCATGCAAAATACTTGTATAAACATATTTAAAGATACCATGGCCTTTCGGATTCCGGTTTTATTAACGCTGGATGTTTTTGGGAAAAGCTCAAAAACCTGCATCTAACTAGCGCATTGCATGTTTTTAGCCCAAGTCGAATGCTAGATAATGCCACCTTCTTCAAAATTGCTGATTATCTGAAATCGCTCACCCTCCTTGAGCCATTTGTTTCTGACGGTCAGGACACTTGTGTTGGTAGAGGTTAGACCGGAATTTATACGTCTAAAATCGTAGCTCTGTTAGTGAAATAAGACGGTTATATCATGAATAGCTATAGCACCTTGAAACAAAATTTGCATTTGAATGGACGATCATTTGAATGCTTCACTGCATGCTGCTTTAGATACCAGACTGAGTTGAACAGTTTTCCACAATCCTGCAAGAATGATAATGATACATGAGAGCGATAAAAGCTAAACGACAAGCCAAATAATTAGTAAAAACGACAGAGAATATTCATACTTTACATGCACACTGTTGGTTTTTCTCCAAGGTTATGTTGATGCTATCCACTTCAGTTGGACAAATCACGATAGGTGGAGGTGGTGGTGGTTCATTCTGCAATTTGAAAACGGTGCTAAGAATATCATAATGCAGCGAAAGCGAATTTTGTTTAGCCCTATCTCTTTTTGAATTGGAAAAGTGAACTAGTTAGAATGTTCACATACAAAGACTTGAGGTGAGGAGAAATTTAGGAATAAATTTCCTACCAATGATCGTGACTACCATTACCCCCTTCTGCATTTTTTCGTCGCGAAAGCAACTGAAGTTTGCAAAAAATTTGCTTCTAAACTTCATTCCACTATAATGTTAGGACAACATTTCATTCTCTTAATACTATATAGAACAAAACGATGCCATAGATACTTTTTAAATGTTACGCGCAACACCTTTTTGGTTACAAACAGAAAAATATTACACATGGAAACAAGAAACATTTCGGTACGAACGAAATACTGTATCTTTGCTTAATTCTTTTAGATGGCCAGTCATCACATTTTGTGCGGATAACAGCGTTGCTTCTAATCGTTTCGCCGCTTCTACCATCCACGACCTACAATTCGCCTGTAGCTTGAGAATTTTGGTCATTTTTATGAATGTTGTTGAATGGTAATCAACCAGATAACCAATTTCTCGCTAGAATCATGTGACAGTCGTGAGTGAGGATTCCTACATATTTACCAAAGGCAGTCACCAGCGCTTTGTGCATGAGAAGGAATCAGAAGTTCCCAGAGAAGCCTCGCACCAATTTTCCGACCACAGAGGGATATGGAGCTTAGTGGGCTATACTCTCGAACCATGCCTTGTTCATAGCGAACAGCGTCACTGTTACTGCCCTATTTGTATGTTATACCATATTTGCATGTACAAATAATCTACAAAGACTCTTTAACTCAATGTCGAAATATGATGCAGTACTACACTGAAGAAGGCTACAGTATTACACTATGTTAATAGCATTTGTACTAAGCCGACATGTTCTATTGTATTAGGCGAAAAAAGCTATTTTCTGGTACCCTGTGTTTATAAAAGATTGAATGATTGCACTCTAACGAGGCAGTAGCAATCTCATTGCTTAGTAACACAAAGACTTCTATTGAAGACGGTAACTATAGGATGTTCCTGATGTACTTGAACATCGGATTTCCTATATGGGAGCTTCAGCAATGTGTCACCATAGAAACCAATGCTGTTACAAGACAGAAGTTATTTTATAAGTTAGCCTTTTCACACGCAACTTGCAACCTTGACAGTAGCAAAATTTACAATTTACACTTTCTGTGGCTAGTATTAGGACAGTCTATAATGGATAAATTTTTTAATATTGGCTGCATATTGAGTTGTCATCCTTGTTATAGTCCACACAGCAACAGATTTTGATTGATACTTTGTTAATTCTATCTAAAAGCCAACTCAATGCATCTGTTTATCTGATATTTGACTAGTTCCTTCCATTATGTTATAAAGATAAAGAAACGTGCATTGTATCTGATCATCTTCAAGTAGGTTGTAGCCTTAAACGCACGAAATTTCCCAAATATTGTTGCAGCAGATCCTCCATGCTTCCACCAAACACGCTTTCGTGACTAAGTGGAGGAGAAGGTGTTCTTTACTTTCACAAGTACATCATTGACACTCGCCAAAAATAAGTCATAAAAATAAAGCAGTTCTCCTGATCTTGGCAAAGACAATTATTCCACACCAGAATAGCAGTCATCGAAATTCTAACACTTCTAGGACACTATACTGTTTCACCGCAGACTTCCTCATCAACATTGTACTCATTTCGTCCTCATACTCCGATTCACCTTCCTCAAACTGCGCAAGGATATCACGCAAATTCTCTTCAAACTGTTCGTTAGGAAGAAAAAGACATCCTTTATTATTCATGGCAACCTTCAGCTTTGCATTGTTCACTCTAGGTGAAAAGCCTATCGAAAAGGAGTTAAATTCTCCAGCCAATATGATTAAAGTCTATAGATCTAAATCTTCAACCGATGATGAGGTCTTTTCTAGATGAAGAAACGTGACTAACATCATACCAAACGGCATAAAACTGCCTAAAGTCCACGTATGTTGCCAACCTAATTATCAAAAACCGATTAAACCATGGTTGGATGATGAGCGTGCTATTTTTAGCACATATAAGCAATGGAAGTGGCTCAAAACATGGGAAAGCAAACATCATAACTTATAGAAAAAAAGTAGTAAATAGGAAAAGTTACTGAAAACTCATTTAAAACGTAATCATCTAATAAAAATAGAATAAAAGGTTCGAAACAGTTTGGCCGGTATAGCTCAAATATGACCGATTCCCTGCTCTGGAAAAATTAGGCATCGCATCGGTACCAGAAATAAATTTCGAAGTGGACGCTTATCGAAGTATCAGTTATCCGCGGAAATGTGCAAATAAACCAGAAAATCTCTTAATTTAAATCTTTGGGCTCGAGCTGAGATACATGACATATCACTCAGAGACGTAAATGTAGAACACCGTCATAAAACTATAAAGTAGATAAATAGAAGATAACAGCGATTAAAATTAATTGCAAAATACATTTTCCCTCACCTTCATCTGTCACATTAAAAAACATCCTATCTTCGCTTAACTTTTCCTATCCTTTTCTAGGTCCTGTTTCCAAAGTGTGAACAACCATTCTTATCTACGGAGCATATGACAATCACTTTGGACTGCCTGTGTTCGCCTATCTTAAAATTGTATGGCGCAGTCTGTTCAACGAACTTGTTTCGATGCAGTATCCCTCTATTACGCTAGTGTCCAAGGAAAGGTGAAAATCCCATAAGGCACAGGAACTAAACAAGCGAAACACATTCACAAAAGATTAATGACACGACCTATAAACAGCCTACTAGTTCCGTTCTTTCAAAAGCACTGATAACCACAGTTGAACCTTAAAAATTCAGAATTTAACAGGTACAGAAGGCATTGGTGGTGTAAACGAAGAAGAAAATACATGCGGAGCTGGTCACATTATTACTCCTCTTTCACTAAAAATTAATTCAACACGGAAATATAGAGAAAGCAGTAAAAACTGTAGTAGGCAGCAAATAAAAAGTTTACATTGTGATTTCAACTACAGCCTCAGCTTAACTGGGTTCAATGTAGATTTGGGCTTCCCAGATCAATCATGTTGACGGGTGACTGCTGATGGCACTGGTAGATAGAAAACCAGCTGAGAGAAATGCGAAACCAAGGACCCGCGTGGTGTGGTGGTGAATGCGTTAGCCCCCGGAAAGGGTTAAAGCGCGTTCATTCACCACGCCGCAGACACCTGCGGTCCGGAGTTTTGCAAATATCTCAGCATCATCGTGGTTGCACATAAACAAAAAAGTTATCAAACAAATTAATACTACATGCGAAATTGAAACTCTCAAAGGAGAAGATTTAACAACTTCGAACCTCTAATCTTTGTCTCAGACAACATCCGAATAGAAAAATATTACCAGCAAAATTATTCTAGAGAAACAATTTTCGGAGAACTAAATAAAGTGTAAATACATGAAAAAAACAATGCAAATTTTATGATTTGACATACTTATATCACCACGAATGCAAAATGGAGCAAAAGAATAAGAAGACTAATATTGCCTATGCTGACCTTTTCATTATTTCTAAAGTGTTCTTCTCGCGCATTAACTCTTGAGTTTTGGAGAAACCCCACAAATAATGACCAGTGACAAGTTTATTCGATAATAATGAATTTGGAGCTTTGCAACTTTAAAATGCTTTTCAAGCGAGCTTAAATCGTACCATATAGCTTGTCTGCCGCCTTTCTACAGCGGATGAAGAGCGGCTAGTGGCAGTGATCACATTTGTAACGCAGATGGCTCAATATAGCCAACCTTTCATTCGGCCCGGTTCCAGACCCACGAAACAACTCCTCCACACGGGAACGAAAAATTGGTACCAGACTCGTTTGGGACAACGTTACTCCTTCTAATCAGTGTAGGAATACTCAAGCACGGCTATCCCAGGATTCCAGTGGGAATCGGCTCCACTAGCGTTCAATAATATTCGTGAGAACGAAAAAATCCTTAAGCAGTGGCCCAACTCACATGCAGGAGAGGCTCGAAGATCTTTGTGGATAGTGAATACGAGAAAACGAATGAAATGAAATATGCGCTGGGAATGTGACACATGTGGTAACGGGTCATACAGGGAAAAGTGTGGTGAGTGCCAATGTTTGCAGCAATTTCTGTATTCTTCTTTAAACGTTTACCCTATCACCACAGGACTGTGTTCCCTGGTGACGAACAACGATGTACAGCAAGGGATTAACAAGTAACGCTTGAAACTTAATCCTGAATGACTACGTCATGAGACAATGCCTGATTTCGTATCAGTTACGAACTTCTACAAAAGGTGCGTCATTCAAGCAGAGCTCGTAATGATCAGTATTGTTTATTTGAAAAGATACGATAATTTTTTGGTGGCCAGAAGCTGGAAGGCTTGAGGACATGACAGAATTATAGAACAAACTTTACTCCTTCGCTTTAGCAACATAAACGAAAAACTTAGGCATATATATATGCATATATATCACTATTTGCTAGATGTAAGCCTTCAAATGCATCGAATAGCTCCTACTAGGTCACGCCTGATACGACATCTGCACTGAACAAGCTAATGATCGGATAGAAAGTATAGCAAACAAGCTTTGTGTGGCAAAATAAACAAATTAGAAAAAAAATGAATTGGGTGCAATGCGTCCCATCTACTATATCACCCACCCCTAAGTATTAGCTGCATCCAGTTCATCTCAGCCTCTATGTCTTGAAGGCTGGAGTCACTTAAGGAGAGAATAACATTGATATTTTGTTCCGCAAGCTCAGCAATGAGCATAACATATGATGAAAATCAGTTCCATTTAAGAAAAATTTTGATGAAGCAAGGTAAACGTCCAGCCGATCTCCAAGGTCGGAGATTCTCGCAGAGGTGGCTATGGAAATTTCGGATTACAAGCAAATGGTAAACTCACATGGATAGAAAGTTTGCCATTGAGGATATATGATGACTGCTCCTTAAATCACATGTAGGTGCTGAACTGAGTGGGAAATTTATTTCCATAAGCTTTATAAATGAATTTTGCAATACATATTTATTGTTTATATTACTAATGTAGAAAAATTAAAAATTTATTTCCCTCTCAACGAAATACTAAGCAATTTTTTCTTCTAATACTTAATTAACAACGACTTTAGGTTGGGTGAAATGATATTCT